TGGGTCGGTCTGTATTATCCGGGTATGAGTTAGTCCATAGTCGGTGTGCAAACAGATCTCCCCAAAATGCGCCAATGAAAAAGCCAACCAACCACCTGAGTCATCGTTTGAATTGGCTGCCCCATCTTCGAGCCCAGATGGATCGTCCACAATTTCTACTTATAGGCGATTTTAACTGTCCTCGAATACGAAGACCTGAATTGCATTTGATGCCTAGGCACGGTGAGATGGAAGCAAAGTTCGTAGATTTGGTACTTGAAACTGGTGCATCGCAACACATATGCTAGCCAACGCGTGATACCACGCTCAACCCCGTCTTGTCTCTACCTGATGTTAACGAGCTGCGAACAACGAGTGCGTGAAGTCCGGATCCTGGAGTCCCTGGCAACAGCGACCATTCAGTACTCATAGCTGTTATGGAATTCTCTTTACCCTATTCACGTCTTCTGGAGCCAACTTACAACTACTAGAAAACGGACTTCAACGGTCTAGCTCGAGCCGCGAGCCAGCTGGATTGGTCCCTGTCACAAACTGCATCCTTGGAAGACTGTTGGACATTGATAAAATAGGCATTGACGTCATTGTTTTCCCAATTTGTGCTCTTAAAGTGTAGGAAGGCTTTACTGATTTGGCCTCACTGGTTTGACAAGGAGTATGGAAATCTGGCTCCGAAGCGGTGCAGGCTGTGGGACAGATTTCTCCTCTCTGATTCTGCCAACGACTACGAAGCCTATACAACTCAGCGGAATATCTGTAACAGTACAGAAAAGAAAAGCGTCGACATTTCGAAGAGAAGCTGGCAATTGCTGCGAAGGCCGCTCCAAAGAGAATCTTTGCTTACCTGAAGCCAGCACGTGACGTGCCAGTACTGGATGGCCCGGACGGACAACGCCCAACCTCCAACACTGAGTGTGCGCTTGAATTGACGACACTCCGCTTCTTTATTCGCCAATGACCAGGTGTCTGTTCCGAGTTCAATGTGTACCGCTTTTATCGAACTTGACAGTCTGGATTGCGGCCTTGAAGAGGTATGTCAACTACTCGCCAGCCTTAACGATGATGATGATGATGATGACTCGCCAGCCTTGACGACACCAAACCTGCCGGACCTGATTCTCAGTTCACTTTCAGTCATCATGTCTCTTCTGTCGTGACCTTTATGACCTACCGTATTCCACATCTCGGCGACTTCCTGATGCTGAGGCCAATGCTGCACTTACAAGGGCCATGCAGCACATGCGGACAGATACAAACCTGTGCCGGGTGTGAGGCGAATTCCCCACCCACTGCTTCGAACGGAGAGTGGTACATATTTGGAACACTTCGCCTGAACATGTAATGGAAACATCTGTACAGCAGTTAAAAACATTGTTGGATTTGTATTTTACCAGAGGATTCAGAGAACAACTGCACACTTACGATGACATGTCACATTTGTGAGTCCTGCAACGCCGTGAGTCGGATATTTTCACGGCTGACAATTTTTATAACCTTTTTCACCATCTTTCGAAAGAGTTGTACATAATTCCTTTTTACTTGCTCTATAATACAGTACTCAGAATTCAGCGCTTCTCATTGTCACTTTTTTCGTTTTGCCTGTCTGCGGTTGTTACATCTACGCTTGAGTTTCGTGAACTTAGAGTGCATATCAGCTAGAATCGCCGGTGATAGGTTCTTTAATCCGTGACTCAACCTAGCCTTTTTAGCTCACTGGCCTCATTTCATTTCACACTTATTTGTGCATGGATTGCAGATTCTAGTATTCTTACCGGCCGCTGTGTATCCAGGACCTGCGTCACACACGAGCTCAAGAGTCAACTTGGTGACTTACTTTCCCAATAAAGATCAACACCCTAAGAACAATTAGGATAAGGTTCGGCACAGGATATCCCCTTAGACTTGCTCAGTCGTGAACTGAGACGGATCCGAGTAGTCGTTCACCGCGCCTTCCAAAAAGGACCAAGGATAGTCAGCTATGGTCTAATAACAGCCTTCGCTATTTTCCCAAAATCAACGACAGCCAGGTTGGAACCACGCCAGGCGACGTTTTCTTACGTTTCCTTGAGTGCATTATTGTCCAGCTGCTGAGTAACTTCAAGTAGCATTTAAGCGCTTATTGTGTTTGGAAATCATCTGGAAATCACCAATGATCAGCGCACAATTACGATAAACACTCACCATTGTAAGTGCGTTCGGGACTACGCCAACCTGCCTTGTGGGGAGACTAGGAGATCTGTCTGCACATTTCCTTATCTTGCTACTAATGCCATATCAGATCTGATATCACCACGAGGTAATGTTCAACATTCCTTATGCTTTAGTTAGTTTGAAAATCGCAATCCATCTGAGCATTGGCGACAACCACGAACCAGCAGCGTCTAGTACTTTTGCATCCATTGACTTTAGTTGACGTTGTTGACCATATACAAATGTCACCTCAAAGAAAATCCAATTTCACAGGGAAATCCAGCGAGTTGATGTCGGAACTAAACACAAACCATCGGAAGCAACTCTACAAAACCCATGATCGATCGATGATCACCGTAATAACTCAATTGTCAAAGACGGTGGGAGCCACGGGGCTATTGGACAAATGATTGAGAATCAAGTAAGAGACAAACCTCAGGGATAGTTTTACAAAAGATATAAGCAATTCCCGAGATACACAAAGTGGGTCCGCTACAAGTCAACTGAGGAAAGTCACTTGACTCGTGCAGGCGACGTTGTGGACAGAAGCATGCCGAATGAATTAGTTCGCATGGAAGCAAGTGTGAACAGACTGATCGATATGTCGTGAGGCCCCAACTCAAAGACAGGCTTCCCTGGTCATATACTTCTTATTGTGTATATTCCTTCTCTTGTTCATGTCGAGCAAGATACATTGGAAGAACTAGTAGGAGGCTGTCTGAGAGAATACGTGAGCATTGCCCAGCTAATCTACGCACTGGTGAAAGAAAAACTGTGATGAGCGCCGTGTTGGCACACTTGCTTGATTCTAATCACCAAATTGACTCCCGCCAATCTTTTCAACCCATTGATCGATATGTCCTGTACAGTAAATGGTTGGGGGTTATACTCAGGAGCTAAAGACAATGCCCACTGCAGCTCCATCCTTAAATGCTCAAAGCGTGCTGGACGCATTTACTTCGATGACCGCTTCAGTCTCGCGGATTCTAGCTTTGGAGAAGCCGCAGGTAAATACTGACGCTACCCAACATTCTTATACGTTATATTGGCCTATCTAACTCATGGTGCGAATGTTGACTTTCGCCACAGCAACTGGACACCGGAGATTTGATATGAACTTGTTGGCGTACGCCTGCTGAGTACCATGATGAAATATCTGCTCGTGGCAGGGCTACAGTAACACTTCACCTATTTCCACTTTCTCTAGGGCTATCAAAACAGTGGTTAGGTTAAGAAGTAGAAGCATCTTGAAACAAATAAGTGGCAATAGCACCTTTTCATTTATCCATCCTACATAATGTAGAAATCAAGGGACTTGTTTTAAAGCAGCCTGAGAACCATTGTTCAATGCGGCTGAAGTTTACGGAAATAGTGTTTGTTGGAACCGGGATACCTCTAGGGTGTCCAGGCCTACATGGTCACTTGATTACGGTTCTCATTCAAAGTCTGTCTTAAAAGACAGCTTTTGAAGTTAAGAGGAGATGAATCCAGCAAGAAGATAAGTTTCTCAGACCTCTAACCATTGGCTTATCTTGAGTGAGTGGTCGTCAAGTACCCAAGAGCATTTATTATAGCTCGGTGGTACAGAGGTTAACAAACCGTCACACCATTAGGCCCAATCTGGTTGCGATGGTACTGTCAGATGTCTTCCATTAACTTTGCGATCGAAGAGATAGTGAGTACTTTTTCCTATTTATTTTTAATTCTTCTGAAGTTTAAGTTCCGTTAGGAGACCGATTGTTTCACCCGGCTGTAATGCAAGCCTTTCGGAATAGACTCTCGTACAACACCGCACACTTTGGCACACACTTCGCATTTTCAAACTGCAAAGTGTTGCTTAAGTCTGAGCCGACACACCAGTGTCCAGTCATCGGCCGGTTGGTTTCGTTTTTAGCTGGTTGTATTATCCCTAGTGATCGCACTATCAAAGTGGTTACTGGAGGCACTGATAAAGTTTGTGGAGCTTTCCAATGCCTCAGTCACCTCTGGGAACGGTGGGATGTGACCAACAAAAGGACTTACAACCTTGCAGTGCTGAGACACGGCCACTGTAAGTTGAGAGCATTAGGAGGCTGCTTGTTTGACTGCTACTGCCTCTGAATTGTTGCGCATATTCCATGGAATGATGATGATTTTGTCTTCGTTCATGATTTATCGTCCTTGTTGTTTCACGCAATATGTATCAAGGCAACTGAATTCACAACAATCGCCGGCTATACGTCTCAACCGGGCTTCACTACAGCGCGACGACCACCAGTCGCGTGCGTGATGAATTTACCGCGAGGATGCCCACCCCTACGCGGATTCGAACCGGTGACCTTATGGTTGCAAGGCAGGCGCGCAGACCACTCGGCTACAGGCCGACAGAACTTTGATGTAAAGCCGTTGGTTGGTCGGCCGAGCTGCACTGTTCTCCATTTCAACCGATCATCGTTGAACGCTGGTTAGTGTTTACTTCACCGTACTATTAGGTGAACTGTTCTCTGAGCCTGACAATTAGCAAAATAATTGGCAAGCTCAGAGAACAGTTCATATAACAAATGAACGTCCTGAGCTACCAACATTTTGTTCTATATTGCATCACTGTACTCTTTTACGCTTGGGCCCATTGACGCAGCATATAAAAGTACAGCATAAAGTGTGACTGTCGTATAGACTATTATCCGGTATTATCTCTGTATCCTTGGCCATTGTCAGTTTGCGGTTGTTTATGAGGACTGATGAGCACTGCCATCTAGTAGATTGTTTGATGATCTTATTCGTTCGACAGCATTTCATCTGGATGCACTGTATTTCTTCTGCCCTGTCCACAGCACAAACGTATCTATGAGCACAACATGAAGTACAAGAGAAAACGAGAGGAAAAACTAGATCGCCAACGCCGGGAGCGTATAAGGAGGGCACAGGAGGCTCGCGAGAAAGCGTCACGTGCAAGTTGTTCATTTTGACTATCCTATTTCCGAATGTTTCCCTCTTTGTGGTTTTGGTTGCTTTGCCTATATTGCACATTGGTTTCGCCTAGTAAGCTGGGCATTCATATGCGTGATTGCCCTCACGCACGTTGCAATATCCTAATAATTCTTTTTTCCTGGTCATAGGAGGCTAATGATAATCAGACGCCATACGGAAGTGGAAACATGGGAGACACCTTTTCTCAATTGTTCAGCGACCCGGAGTTGATGGCAGCCATGCAGGTACCTCACATTACGTTATATCTAAGGTTTACCTATCTGTTTTACTATTTGTTGCGTCTTTCGAGTGCTTGTCGCCTTACCATCTTTAGCACCTGAGATTAATTTCTCTTTTTGTTCTGCTGGTTTCCAGCATTATCGCGTTCTGTGTATTAAGAGTTTTACCAGGCAAACAGCGTAACTTGACACCCTACCCACATGTGCTAGACACCGCTGCAGAGTTGAACTGACGCGCTACGTGTTCTCACAGTTACCGAACAGCCACCTTAGTCAATCGAACAATTCACATATCTGAGTAATTTTTATTTTCCCAGCAAAACACTTGATGTCGCACCTGATTGCTTCTTGAGCCTGCATTGTCTGTGTAATATTCTGCGTGCTATCCGAGTAGATACATTGCATACAGGACATTTGTTTTCCGGTGGCCGAGTGTTCTGTGCACCTGAATTGCAGTCATAAGGTTCCCGGTTCGAATCCGCGTAGGGGTGGGCGTCCTCGCGCGTGACTGGTGGTGGTCGTGTGGCAGCGAAGCGCCGTTACGGCGTACAACTGACACACAGGGCATTTCGTCCTTTAAGCTCCGAGATTAAATACGCATTGGTAGAAAATTGTTCCAAAGGCATGATCACGCGTGTTTACCAAGCGCTCGGATAAGGATCACGGAGTAAGCCATCAACGCGGAATATTTCCTTCGACTTAGCTTAGCCGCACATTTGTCCACCTAGCATCCGGCGGTTGTATCTACCTTTCCCCCTATTTTTACACACCCTTACGCTCCTTTTTATTTTTTGGCATTGTACTTAGGTGCTGAGCAGTAGAACCAAATCCACATGGTAACAGTAGCTTCATTGGTGATTGCCAAATACCAGTTACCGCTGGATTCTTCCTTTCTCTGTATTTGGCTCTTGCTTTAACCGACCTGCACACTAGCAGGCTACCTCGTAGTATCGCTATCCCGTTCACGACTATGTGTGACTTCGTGCTAGCGAAGCGTCGTTGTCGCGCACCGGCATACTGCTGATGAAATCGAGGGTATTCTCTCGACACTACACAGACTTGTCTGTGCATCGTCTTCTACTTGTTTTCCATACTAGTACGGTTGTATTCTAAAAGCTCTACGGTATGTTACCTCGTAGTTTCTTTTGCTGATTAGGGCTTTACGCTTTCTCAAGACATTTGCATACCAAAACTCGTTGCATGGCTAAGCACAGCAGGCAGAAGCTGTGATCAAATGCCTGGTAACATTGCGAACCCCGCACTTACTTTGTAGGTAAATCCTCATTCGCACAATGCAGGTATTTTTATCATTACTCCAGTTGTGAGTTAAGCGGGCTGTGACCGTTTTCGTCATCTACCAGCGCAGCGTGAGAGTCTGCGACTTATCTTCGGCTTATGCACACTTCTGTCAGAGAAACGGACATTTTGCTAATTTCGTTAGCAGTTAGCCTAACTCATTCGATCGTTGACCTGCGAATGACGGTATGCTATGTACGAAATTTTAAAGCGTATCCATCCAACCTTTCACTCAAACATTTTTAATAACTCTTTACTGGATTTTTGCTCACAGCTTCCCCGTATTGCTTTCCGCACATCAGGACATACTTAACATCTCGGTCCTACCTTTTCGTTCTTCAGACTGCAGGCTGTTATTTCGCATGGTGGAGCCCGAACAATTGCTTGTTGAAACTAAGCCACCGATTTGAACATGCTCATTTGTCAGTTACCTTATTCACACTTAAAATCGCGTTATCGTTTTTGGTCGCTTCGACGCATGCCTGTCTGGGCTTGTGCGAAAAGATCAGACTTGGGGGTAACACGCACGACTGGATTTTTCAAACCTTAGACTTATTGCTGGGTCTTAACAGAAGTACACCATTTCCTCCGTATTTCTGTGCGTATCTCCATACTTCTTGATCCACTTGCTTGTTGATGACAGATGGCACTGATTTTGGCTACTTGCAGCTGGGAATGTGATGATTCCGGTTGTACATGGTGCAGCAGGCTTATTGGTTGTTCTTTAGGACAAATGGGATGCATTGTACGTTGCGCTTTTGACCCACGCAACAGCCCGTTACACACTAATAATCGGAAAGCAATCAGCTGTTCTTTTCACTAACTGCACAACTTCTTACTGGCAGTCATTGAGACCCTCTGGCGCGCTACTGGCGTCTGATGCTGATATGCACGAACCAACTGTTACTCACCCGCTGACCTTTAGCATTTTACATCGTCCTGAGGTTATCACTATTAGGCTACCGGGGTGGTAATCCGCTGACGCCGTCCATAACTATGGCATTGTACGCCACTCTGTTGCCACCTTGGAAGCCTAAGATTGACAGAATTATTAGTTTCTCTCATTACTTCGCGTTCCACTATCTATCCATCATTTATCTTTGGCGACAAAGCACTTGACAATGCTCATTTGGCCCATTATCGTATTTCGAGTTTCTTAACTTTCCATGGAGGAACATTATTGCGATTTCTGGCTGTATCATACTTTTTCCTCTCCCTTGGTACCGCCATCATATGCATTTCACTTTAATCCACTTTGTTATCACACCGTAGGATCCCGAGGTATTGGAAGCCTTCAAAGATGTTTCACCCAACCCCGCCAACATTCACAAGTATCAAAATAACCCGAAGGTGAAGAAAGTACTAGAAAAGCTGCAGAGCAAATTCGGAGGCGGAATGCCTGGCATGCCTGGTAAGTGAATTCATCCAAGTGTTGGTGACGCGCGCCATACCTGCTTCCGTCTAATTCGATTCGTCTTTTTCAGGTGAGATGCCCTTTGATTTCGATTCTAACTTCTCAATGCCCAATCAAGCTACCCCTGGTTAGTTATTGTTATCTCGCTCACATCGCTAATTTTGCAGATTTAGACTGAAGTCAATCACTTCTATGCTTCGGCAAAGCCTTCAATCCCTCTGTTCCATCATTGCCGCTTTGTACTTCGTTCTAATAAATTCAAACTAATTAATTTTGCTTTTTGACATAACCAGGGATTCTGCATTTACGTTCCGGAGTTCCGAAGTCTTAGACCTTTGCGTCTTGTCACCCAGTATTCCTTACACGCGTCTGTTACTTTCCTGATTACTATAGCGATCGCGGGTTTGCGTCACAAAGACATCAGCAATACGTCAACACACCGTACCGACACTTCGCTGCCGCGCGACCACCGCCGGTCGCGTGGCGTATTTAACCGTAGATGATTAGCTAACGCTTCAGCTTGAATGGGCTGCATATCCTGTCAGCTATGTCTACGCTGGCGCGGATTACATCTTCATACTAGTTCGCCGGAGTGAATCTACTTTTTCCGGCAGCCAAATGTGCATTGCATCTGGCCTCAGATTAACTGGGGACATAAGATTAATCTCTGCACCACTTGCTTTACGATTGACTAAGTAAATAAATAAGTTGTTTATTCTCGACAGTGAGAGGCACGTCTGCATAGGCATGATCATGCTAATACCAACACTTAAGCCCGGTACGAATATATTACAAGTTAACCATTTGCAAACTGGATATTTTGGTACGTGTATATGTGGCGAGTCAGTGGCATACGTTTTCGTTGTTCTAAAATCTGCACTTCGTATTTCGAATGGTGTGCTTATTAAATTCACGACTGAAAGCTGAAGATCACTTGAAGCAATTTGATATTGTCTGCCACCAGAGCGGGCGCCGGTAGAGCGGAAATTGACCGCCGGCCCATCATCCGAAAACCCGCGAAACAGTGACGTTTCTCTCTGGTTTCACGACGGGCCTTAAGATCTCTTACAGCTTCTTACCATTTCGATCTGGTTACACAATAACACCAGTGCCACTGAGTTTAAAGGCGAACATCAGCGGAGCTTGGTCTTCTTCCCGAGTGAACAGAACAACTCGTAATAGGCCAGGTCGTGGGTTGTAGCAGTTGGCTATCAAATTACCGAGTCTGGTAATTTTGGGAACAGTAACCCCGGCTGAAGTAGCTCTGCGTCACAGATTTTAAACAACTGAAGGTCCTATAGCATGCGCTGTTTTGGAAGAACTCCAGGACTTAGGGGCATTCTTAAAACCCTAAAATCAGTAGACGAGTTTATGCAACGCGTTGTACTTACAACACGCGCCACAGACTCAGGCGCTTGCTGTTTCTTATCTGCTTTTATGGTCCCCAAGGTGTTGCTTGACTTTACATACGAAGAGGGGACGGCAGTGATTGAGTTATATTGCAGTGGGCATGGGGCATACGGCAGATGCATCTTATCTGCCTTCGAATCGTTCGCTTTTCTACCCTTCTTCCGTGTATTTTGATTGGTGCAGAAGCACGCGTTTTTCCCTCACTAACAGCTGAATCAGAAGTGCTATCTTAATGGTTATTACTAACAGACACTGATAGTAGACAGAAATTAAGTCGGGGTAGCCAAGGCTGCCAACCTACTCAGATTCTCTATTATCTCTTTCCTATACAGACCTGAGCTATCGAATACTTAAAGTAGAGAGCGAGAAGATACAAAAATCCATGTTGCTCCGTCGTAGGTGGATCGTGCACATGCACGGAATCAAGTCGCTGATTCATGCGCAGTGGCAGCATGTTGCAACTGTACTACATCTTATCCGGGTGCGATACGCTCCCTATACCTGTAGTCCGCAAAGTGGGTGTAAGGAATCTCTTAACTTCCGACACCGATTTTTTCTCGACTAGCGTCTCCGGCAACTTGTCCCAATATTTCACCACTCGAACCCTAGGAGGCGAGCGATTTGCTTTAAATACAGTACGGATATTTTGTACCGGTGTCCTCGTGTGTTGCTTGGTGCGCGAACTTCCAGCAGCGGCCCAGGTGCAGTATCCGGTGCGTCGTAATGAGATCAACTCGTTTGACATCCCCCGTAAACTGGGGATGAGCCGCATAACTACAAGCTGGACCCGTTCCAGTCTCTGCACCTCACCTATTGTGATCGGACAATAGGCGGGTGAGCACCGATCTTATCATGGAAGAGAAATGACAAGTCACAATCTCTTCAGATCAAGTGCAGAAGCTGTGTCTAAATGCCAAAAGCAGGCGTAGTCCCTTTGCGTACGGTCTGTTCGTGCTGTCGACAGACTTCAGATCACAGCCTACATCCATTACGGAACTGGCGGGTTGCCGCTCAATACCATCCCTCTCCAGGCTCATAAACGAGGACTTGATCGGGTTGACCGGTAGGTCAGCTTCTGAAGACCACCGCGATAGGCGGTCGAGGTCATGCTGAACGACTTCACAGTCGCCGGGAGAATCGATGATCCTCCATATCTTCAGGTTGTCTGCAGATAATGCGCAGCGCGACCGAAAAAGCTGAGGTATTTGGTTGATGTGGCTCAGAAACAAAATGGGCTCCAGTACTGTGCCTTGGGGTACGGCGCTAATGGACGAGTATCATTGCGTTAGGTGGCCATCCACCTGAACCCGCCATCTTCTCCCAATAAGCATGTCAGTGATCCACTGGTGCAGTGCGCCACGAACACCACGCATCCTCAGCTTGTGGAGCAGGACCTCGTTTTTCACCTTATCAAAGCTCTACTGAAATCAATGTAGATAACATCCACTGATCTCCCCCTGTTCAACCCTTGCAACCATTCCTGCCGCGTCAACAGCAGGTTATTGATGCACGAGCGGCCCTTCATGAATCCGTGCTGTGCCGGCGTTAGATCTTTCGACTCCAGCAGCTAGAGGAGACCATTTTTCAATATCTTCTCGAGCACCTTTGCTAAAACAGAGGTGGGGCAAATCGGCCGGTAACTGTCCATGTTGCATGGATCATCACGTTTTGGAATCGGCTTCACTACGGAGCGTTTCCAGTCGCTCGGCATTGCACCTTCGGACAGCGACCTGTTAAACAGATCCGCCGCGGCAGGCGAGACGATGGCCGATAGGGACTTTAAAATTAGCAGTTAAAGTTCATCAGTCCCGGTAAGTTTCGTGCCGTCAAAACTGGCGAGTATACTGCGGATATCTTCCATACCGCAGTCCAGGCCCTCGAGTTCAGTAGGGACCGCACGCGTCGAGCTCGGCATAGGTGTATGCCCACTTGTAAATACGAAAGCGATGTGCTCTACCATTGCGGACGCACGTTCAGTGCTGGAAGTCAGAGGCTGTTCCTCAGGGCCCACAGCTACGTCACTTGTGGTCCTGCGGCGCCGCTTCACGTAAGCAAAAATCCTTTTGGAAGCAGTCTTTGCTGAGTTTGCAAGCTCCGCTTCTAACTGCCGACGCTTTTGCGCTGTTACATAGATTCTGCTGCTTTTGTACGCCTCATACTTTTCGGCAGAGCCAGGCACGAGGTATTTATTCCACAATACGCGTCGCCGTCGTGCCAATTGACCGTACTCTCTGTCGAACCTATTTGGCTTAACTAGTCCACCTTTCCGATACTTGGGATACGAAACGTGCGCACAAACATTGCACATCTTCTTTTATTACAGGTTAACAGGCTTCACCAAATAAATCCTGCGGCAGCGGCCAGTCTACTTCACTGGCGGCGCGATTGAATTCTGTCTTCCAACAATTGTAGACAGCTCCGGCGGACACGAGTAGGGCAGCGGCAGCCCTAGGCTGGCTAACACTACCGAGTAGTCACTAGCTGGCAGATGTTCTAGGACCTGAATCTCATATGCACATTGCTCGCAACTCGTTGCTAATAGGTCCAACACGATGGAGCGGAATGCGGTGCAACCCGCGTCGTTTGCAGACGTGCAGTTTCAACTACCATCGCCGCAAACTGCGCCTCGATTTCACAGTGTCCGGGAAGAACTTGGATCTCAGGCCACCGTATTCGAGTGAAGTTAAAATCTCCCATAAGCAGGAAGCACGACCGTTATATAGTTTCTGACAAGCGGCAACCAATCCAGGCATCGACTTCGCAGACTGCGATGAACCGCACTCACAAACAGTTCACCCTGTTTCAGGCGGATCAAGCACCATAACTGTTCGCACAGGCCATCTTCGCTGTCGTAGGTGTGTACCAGCCTCCCGCACAGTGAGGACCGAATGTATGACATGACGCCGTCTCGATCGTTTGATAGTCTGTCGCACTGGAAACACGAGTGCTCACTGATCGACTTTGGGTAGTGACCTCAGGATTTAAACAGATTTCGGCCAGTCTTAGTACGTCCGGACGACGAGAGGCAACGAAGTAATATACGTTGTTACCTTTGTTCATTAAACTACAAACATTTGTGTAGGCTACGCGCGGGCCACGGTAGGAACCGACGGATGCGCACGCAGCGTCATCGACCTTTTGATCCGGTTTCGGCGGACCCGGGGAAGCACCCAAAAATTGACACTGTGGATATTGGTTTCTCCACTATCACTCTGCGTCTTTAATTCCCCGATAGCGGACTTCATTTCCTCTTTGTCTGACGGATCCAAATCGGGGTGAATATAGATCTTTAGACCTCCGCCTACCGAGGCCGGATAGTATCATCCTCTGACTCGTTTGATCGACAAACGTGATTCGCAGTGGCCGAGATTTCCTCTCCTCTCTCCAACACGGGTGATTTCCTTCACTCAACCCCTGTTCATTCACGTCGAGAAGCCTATCAATCAGGCTCTGCGGAAAATCTACATCGTGATCACAAGAAGCCTGAGACCTTGCATCGGTCGACTCAGGCGCGTTACGACGCGGCTGATTGCTGGCAGTTCTCTTCTTTTTGCTTTGTTGCATTCTCCATTCGCCTACCTGGTCTGCGCTATCGCACACCGGTATGATAGTGCCCGTAGGACTCAACACAGGCACCCCAGCTGAAGGCTCAGCAATCGGTGGAAATCGCTCTAGAGACCTTTCAGCCGGTGGGCTCGTTCGAACATAGGGGTGGCTGGGTTTCTGCTTGTTTGGATGAACCAACGGAGCTCCTCCCCATGGAACATTTCGCACGTTTTGTAGGCTCGCGCGGCCTCTTGGCTGTTTGTTACTGCACAAACACGACAGCTAAGGCTCCAGCAATGGGTGGACATCGCTCTG